AATAACTGTTTAAAGGCTAACTCCACAATTCACCACTACAAAGTTCTGTCTTTTCACATTTTTTTCTAACGTGTAATGTGTTTAGAAACAAATCACTAATTTAGCTTTACCCAAACTTTAATGACACAGCTATATAAAAAGACCTCATAGTGCCTTAACGTCCCAACAGAGCACTTCGCTCTCAGAGCGCAGGTCTGCTTGTGGTTCCTAGAGTCCACAGAAGTAGAATGGGAGGCAGAGCCTTTAGCTATCAAGCTCCTCTTCCATAGGAGACAGCTTCAGTTCAGTTCAGGAGGCAGACACCCTCTCTACCTTTAAGATTAGACTTAAGACTTTCCTTTTTGATAAAGCTTATAGTTAGGGCTGGATCAGGTGACCCTGAGCCTTCCCTTAGTTATGCTGCTAAAGGTCTAGACTAGTAAGGGTCTGACCTCCTTTCCTCTTCTCTGTTAGGCCAGTTAACTGTTATTGGTAAGATGAGATGCTGTGCTCTTACCAGCATAGACCACAATGCCCACCACAGTCTGAGTGTTGCGGATAGTGCAGCTCCTCAGTAGGAGGTTGTTGTTATGGAGGCCTACACGAACCCCACTAGAGTGCTCCCTGTGGAACAACACACACACACATACACACACACACACACAAAACAGACTGGAGTTAAGACTCAACTGCACAGTGTGATCCAGTTTTATCCACTGACTCGGGCACCCCTGGTTGGAGCATGCGGAATGGGGCAGGGTCTGGATATCCTGATAGTAAAGAGTTACACTCTTTACACTCTTTACTATCAGGATGTCCCAATAATTCCCTAAAAAGCCTCCAGTTAATCTAAAATGCTGCAGCCAGAGTACTGACAGGAACTAGCAAGAGAGATCATATCTCTCCCATATTAGCTTCTCTCCACTGGCTCCCTGTAAAATCCAGAACAGACTTTAAAATCCTTCTACTAACACACAAAGCCCTTAATGACAAGGCTCCATCATATCTTAAAGATCTCATAAAGCCTTATCATCCCAACAGAGCACTTTGCTCTCAGAATGCAAGTCCACTTGTGGTTCCTAGAGTCTACAGAGTTCCCTTAGTTATGCTGCTACAGGCCTAGGCTGCTGGGGCCACCCCATTATGCTGTGAGGTCCTCTCCTCTCCTCTGTTTCCATCTTGAGCTCCTCTCCCCTCCATTTTATTGTTACATGCCACCATTACATCACTAATAGTGTGTCCTCTCTCTCTCCCAGTACCTTTCTGCAGGTATCCCTGGCCCTGGAGCTCTATGTTTCTGATGAACAGTCACCAGCCACATCAACCTGACCAGTGTTCGATTGTTTGTTGTTGTTTCTTGTTGCTTTTCTTTTCTCTCTCCTCTATCCACTCACCCCAACTGGTCAAGTAAGAAGGCTGCCCACCAAGAGCCGGGGTCTGTCGGAGGTTTGTTGCATCTGCCAAGTGCTTCCTCCATGAGGATTTTTGGGTTTTTCCTCTAAAATAATAATAATAAGGTCTAGACCTTACTTTGTAAAGTGTCCTGAGATGACTTTTGTTGTGATTTGGCGCTATACAAATAAAAGTGTCTTGGTCTTGACTTGGTCTCTCTCTGTTTTCACTTTGACATTAAAGAGGATTTTTTTTGTAATTTTTTCAAATTATCCAAATTATATTGACCATGATTGATTTATAAAATCAATAAAAGGGTAAAACATCCAAAGGGGCGAATATTTTTATAGGCACTGTAAATGCAGAGATATAAAGGAGCATGCTGTGTGTTCAGATTCAGCCAAATATATCGAGACTCCCATTTCATCATTTTCCAGGACAGCAATTCCAAACACAGACCAAATGATGGTGGATACATACTCAAATTAAAGCTGAGATGAGGCACATTAATGTAGTATTGATTGTTTTTTTTTTTCAAATGGAATGTGCTGAAAAACAAAACAAAAAATGTCTATCTAAATACTTAAGGTCAGAACTGTATTGTTATCACTGTATGACATGGCACTGTGTACATGGATCTCCAAACACTAAGTATATATAGACAATTACTGTCACTCACATGTAGCCTCTGAACCTGCTGAGGTCATTGTTGGGGTTCTCACACACAATACGGCTGTGGAAGCTCTCAGGGGAAAACTCTACTCCCTGGAAAATACACACACGAATTAAACATATACTGTACATATATATCCATTCATCCTGAAACTGCAGGAATAAACATGAATTTTAAGGTAAGACAGCTCACACACTGTTACTATATGTTAAGGCTGTTTAATGGATGCTCCTAATGTTGTTTGACATTCAGAGTTTTATTTTGGGAATTGGTGATGGCTGAGAGGAGCAGACATACATGTATTTAGATGGAAAATCTACATTCTTGTCATGGCTGAAACATTCCAAATCTAAAAACAAAATTGGCTTATGGAGTCACGTTCTTGTGATCCTCTGTGAAGTCAGCGATACTGATCAAGTTTGTCAGGATGAAGTTGACTGCTTACACTGCAATGATATTAGTTTTACATTAACATAGCCAATCTGTAGACAACACAACAACAGTTTTTGTTAATGTTAACTGTGTGAGGAGGCTTCTGTGCTTTTAGTTGAGCCCATGCGGTCAAAAATATAGGCTAATGCTATAACATTATAAAAGCATATTGCATAGCTGCAAATTCACCTCAAAAGAGCAATTTCATGGGTTTCCAGCAATCTAAAAACTGTCAAAGTGTCCAAAGGTATACGAAGTCAATGGAAATGACAGAAGAAAAGGTGATTAGAGGCAGATTTGCTCCAGGGGTCATAAATTACAACACGTCTTACACATGTTAACCCTGTTCATGTATTACCTGCAGCAAGAGGTCTGAAACCACCTGCCTCTGTTTCAGGTTGGTCTCTCCATCCAGGTTGGCTGTTTCAATGTAACAAACGCCACTGGGGTCAGAGGAATACAGCAGCACTATGTCGGCAGGAATGATCTCATTACAGGACAGAAAAACAAAGTCTCCGACTTGCACATCCTTCCAGCGCTGGTCAGTGTAGGCTTTCTGCTTGCTATGGGACAATTCGAGTAAACAAAGAGGAGACAAAATTTTAAGCCTATCTGGTAAATGAAATGTACTAAAAAAAACAGCAAAGATTACACAATGAGGTTACTGTGTAAATTAACACAATAGCATGGCTAATAGATCCAACAGAGTACAGAGAGCTCCCAGGCAGTGGTGGAAATACACATGTACATTAACATGTACATTTAAGTACTATACTTAAATATGATTTAGAGGTACTATATACACTACATTATAAACTTCTACTACACTGCATTTCAGGGGAAATACAGTACTTAGGTGTGCAAGCTCTGAAAGAGTATAGCACACATCTTGCAATCCTGTAGGCTTCTTCTTCTTCTTCTTCTTCTTCT